AGACCTTATACCACCGCATGCGTATCAATATCACAATATATCACAATTTGCACCTCAAGTGCTCAAATAATTTAACTTGCCAAAATAATTCAACAACAATATTTTTCCACAATAAAGAGCTCACGGCTCATGCCAAAATAAATCATCAATAATAGTTTTCCACAATAAAGAGCTCACGGCTCATGTCAAAATAATTCATCAATAATATTTTTCCACAATAAAGAGCTCACGGCTCATGTCAAAATAATTCAACAATAATATTCTTCCACAATAAAGAGCTCACGGCTCCCTCACAATGAGTATAAAAATATTCAGGAGTAAATAATTTAGGAAAATAATATTTCAAAATCTTTACTACGTTGCTTCAATATCAAGTTTAAAAATGTCAAATACTTCATATTAATAATATTTAATTTAAAGAAAATCAACCTTCAAATAATGCACAGAATAAAAGAAACCAAGTTTCAACTAAACAGGTAAAACAATTAGTAAGAAAAGATCAAACAAATTTGAAGTATATATCTCAGATCAATGATGAAGAATATAACAAGATAAAATAATTTAATAAATGCGCAACAGTGATCTACACAATTTAAAAATATAATCTTTCGCAATTTAGTCCGTGTACACACTCGTCACCTCGTGCACACGATTTTCAACACATTTCAATAATCACATCAATACCAATCCTAGGGGAAATTTCCCCCACACAAGGTTAGACAAGTCACTTACCTCGACTTGCTCCAATTTAACCAAGTATTATGCTTTTTTCTCGATTTTCCGACTCCGATCGACTCGTATCTAGTCATAATTAATTCGATACAGTCAACAAAAATTATAGTAATCAATTTCATAAGAAAATATTACATTTTCATTAAAATCCGAAATTAGCTCAAAATTTGCCCGTGGGGCCCACATCTCGGAATCCGGCGAAACTTATAAAATTCGACAACCCATTCAATTACGAGTCCACCCATACCAATTTTACCAAAATCCGATAACAACTCGACCTCCAAATCTTAAATTTTCGTTTTTGGAAGATTTTGCAAAAATCTTGATTTTTCTTCCATAAATTCACGGATTCATGATGTAAATGAGTATGGAATCATGAAATATAATCAATATAGGATAAGGAACACTTACCCCAATGTTTTCCCGTGAAAATCGCCCAAAAATCGCCCAAGAACCGTGCTCCAAAAATCCAAAACGAAATGAATGAAATGACCATTTTTGGTCCTTAAGTTTCTGCCAATCCGTCACTAAAAGTCCATTTTTCGTCACTAAAAGTCCACCAGAAACAGCTCTACCAGTCTTACTTCAATTGATCATAACTTTATGTACAAATGTCCAAATGATAAATGGTTTAACTTTCTGGAAACTAGAATCCACCGACTACAACTTTCATGTTTTGCAATTATTCTGATTCCTTATGCATTGCGAGATATAAGCTCCCAAAGTCGGCTGCATGCATCAGAATTTCTGGCGAAATTTCTGGCGAAACTGCTCTACCAGCCTTCATTCAATCCGTCATAACTTTCTGTACAAATGTCCAAATAATGCATAGTTTAACTTTCTGGAACCTATAATCATACGACTACAACTTTCATGTTTTGCATATTTTCTGATTCCTTATGAATTGCGAGATATAAGCTTCCAAAGTTGGCTCCACGCACGGAATTTCTGCAACAGAAATTTCCAGCACTCTTTGTCCGAAATCCATTCCGTTTACCTTCCGAAATCCACCCGAGACCCTCGGGACCTTAACCAATTATTCCAACATGTCCCAAAATACCATACGAACTTAGTCGAGGCTTCAAACTACATCAAACAACATCAAAACGACGAATCGCACCTCAAATCAAAATCAATGAACTTTGAACTTTCAAATTCTATATCTTGTGTCGAAACACATCAAATCAATTCGGAATGACTTCAAATTTTGCACACAAGTCATAAATGACATAACTGAGCTATAAAAATTTTCAGAATCGGATTTCGACCTCGATATCAAAAAGTCAACCTCTCGGTCAAACTTCCCAAAAATTCAACTTTCGGCATTTCAAGCCTAATTCTACTACGGACTTCCAAATAAAATTCTGATCACGCTCCTAAGTTCAAAATCACCATACGGAGCTGTTGTAATCTTCAAAATTCTATTCTGGGGTCGTTTGCACATAATTTGACATCCGGTCACTATTTAAACTTAAACTTTTAATTTTTCATCAAAATTCCATATCTCGGGCTAGGGACCTCGGAATTTGATTCCGGGCATACACCTAAGTCCCAAATCACGATACGGACCTACCAAAATTATCAAAATACTAATCCGAATCTTTTTGCTCAAAATGTTGACCAAAGTCAACTCAGTTGAGTTTTAAAGCTCTAATTCACATTTTAATCTATTTTTTACCTGAAAACTTTCCGGAAAATTTTATGGACTGCGCACGCAAGTCGAGAAAGGATAAATAGTACTTTTTGAGGTCTTAGAATACAGAATTAATTATTAAATTTAAAGATGACATTTTTGATCATCAAAGAGACAATGTTCAGTATCAAGGATAAAATATTAAGGCCTTTTAATAGTTTTTAAATTTGATACGGGGCATATCAAATAGTGTATCTACGGGATGATACGTTTAGAAATCATCTATGTAAGTGTGAAGTGTTAGCCGCTTCAAAGAGAATTATATAAGGCCAGATCTCTACGCACTTATAAAATCAGGCGGTGTTCATGGATGAAACGAACACAACAATGAGAACCAAATACGGTTAAGGGTTGATTGTGTGACTTATGGTCGTCTAGGTATACACCAAAGTTCAACGGTTCAAAGATATCAAATTTACCGATTTACCAATATATCCGACATAAGTTCACTACGGAAAGTTCAAAGGGAAACCTACTTGTCTTGATGCTAATCCTTGTTTGCGAATCACACAGTTTGCATGCATATTTTCGTGATATAGTCATTCCCCATTCATGTGGGGGGATTGTTGGGTTTTTTAAGCTTATTTTAGCTTAAAAGAGTGTGAATGGGAAATGGAGGGAACAATAAAAATTAGATTTTTCCTCCTTGACAAAGGGACATTGCCCCATATTGGAGGAGGAAAAGACTTTTGATGGGTATATATATAATTGCTCTTCTTCTAGCTCTTAAAGAGTTAAGAAGAAAGCAAGTCTCGCGTCGTCATCGTCGCTCAGCTTCGGCTTCGGCTTCAGATGATCGATTGATTGATTAATTTTTTGGACCAAATTTATTTGTTAATATTAAATATTAATGTAATATTATTTAATCCAAATTATCTGTTTTTGTAACGAAAAATTAATTTTCCTCCGCGTTTTGAATTTTCGTTTTATTTTGCGTAAATAGCCATTTATGTTATGACTATTTTACGTAAACAGTGATGATAGACCTTCTGAAGAGTTGCATCTCTTCATTTAAACCCAACATGTTGGCTATAAATAGAAGACCATTCCCTCAGATTTTTCTTATGAAAATTTTGAATTCTCCTCTTCCTTTCTGCAATATTTTAACTACAACAAAGCAACAATAAGTGTGATTTATTGCCGCCATTTGTGTTCGTTAAAACACCGGGGTTTGAAGTACCGCTACACCTGTGTGTTATCTGTTCTATCCTGGGAGAAAATAATCCACAACCTCGGATATTAGGAGGGGATTAAGTTCCTTAAGGATACATTGTGAATTTAATGAGCTCGAATTAATTTCTACTTCTTCTACATTTTTGTGTATACATTATTTTCTTCTCCAAAATTATTTTACAAATACAGTATAATAACAAGTCTAAAGCCAAAAGAACAGGAAGCTATCACAAGGCTTTTTTTTGTGCTTAATAACATTGTCTTGTGATGAAGCAAAGTGCTTTGTCGAAGAAATATTTGTAAGCCAACTTCATAGGGATCTGTTTGGATCACTCAAATGTCATTCCAGTATATCTTAGTCACATTAAGTCAATCTATAGCTTGAGATCTCACATTCACTAGTGACAGGTAGAGGTGTTGCACAATTGAAACAATTCAAGTTCTATAAGACGAGAAATTAAGGACCGTTTGACCATAGATTTTGTCAAAATAAATTTGGGTTTTATTTAGCAAATACATGTTTGACCATAGATTTTACCTACATTTTGGTAAAATCTCAAATCCCAAAACCAACTCAATAGCTAGTTTTGGGCCAAAATATCACTATTACATTTTTTTAAAATTGCCCCAAACTTTTGTGTTTTATAAAAGAGCTCACAATTTATGATTTTGTAACAATGTAGTTTCGTCTTCTCGGTCACCTGATAGTGTATCATGTAGTTCATTATAAAAATGATAATTTTGTATCAAATTTATTTATGTTCAGGATTATGGTTTGCGATAATATAATGAATGTTATTGATAATTGTATTGTTGAGTATTTGTGATAGTTTTTAGAACTTGTGGGTATAAGTCATGTTTCATGTTTTTCCAAAATAAATTTGGGAAATATATTTTGAAAACTGATGTCCAAACACATTTTCATCTTCAAACCAAACTTCGCACAAATCAGATATTTCAGAACAAATTTGTGAATCTATGGCCAAACATAACTTCCCACATGTTCGCCTAATCTGGAATTTTGGGCATTTATTTCAGACTTGTATGATACTTATATTGTACTTGTGCTGAACCCAATTATCGGTAGTAAGATTGATACCCACATGTTAGGTGAGAATATCATCAGATGAAGAGAAAAAGAGAATATGGATCTTGATATCATCTAGCAAAATTTGTTGTGGATTTGGATCTCGCTGGTGTCTTCTTTCACGTGTAGATTTCTTGCTGTTCCGGTTAGGGAGGGAGTACTGTAATCTATGACAAGAACAAGGAGGGTATGATTAGGGTGAGAACATTAAAAGATGGAAAGCTCAAGGTCTTAGGAGATGGACTTGTTGAACATGATGAGAATGGCATTCTGATATCTGGAGATGTTCGCGACTCTTGGGCAGCTTCACTCTTCTCAGGTGAGTACTATACAATATGCGATATGCCTAAAGTAGGTCTAATTTTTCAGCTTATTAATCGTAATAGTTTTTCTTTTCGAAATGGTTGACGAGCCAAGGCTTTGAAAGGCAATCGGTTTCAGTTTTGTGAAGATACCAACTATGTGCCTGCCAATGACATTTTGTTGAAATATCAAATATGGTGTAGCCATTTGTTACTAGAAATATAGCATTTGTTTAGTTTCCAATATTCGCACCCTTGATATTCAAAACTTTATCTGGCTTCCAGTTTCAACAGTGGAAATGCTGGACATGAAACTACACGCATATCCTATAGAAAGCAAACTATTTGAGAAAGCGAATACAGGAAGCAAAGTCTGGGCTTAATGCATATGGCGTTGAAGTAATTGCTTGAACCAATAGGCTGACATCTTTGGATATCGCTCGAGTGTTCTGTAATCAACATAGATAATACCAAATCTAGAAGTATAACCCCGTCTCCACTCAAAGTTGTCGAGCAATGACCACGCGAAGTAGCCTATGACATTAGCTCCTTTATCGATAGCCTTCTTCAGTTCGGCCAAATAGCTTCTGTAGTAATCAATCCTTTTGGTATCATGCAAAGCTTCAGGAAGAGAAATGTTGCCTGCATAATCCATACCTGAAATATCATCTATAGTAATTAGTCCTCAGAATTCCTTTTAAATTAGTCTGGAATTTCAAACAATACTAGGTAACAGCAGTTTCGAAACATTTTACTAGTTAATTAAGTATACCATTTTCTGATAGAACAATGGTAGGATTTCCATAGTGTTCTTTTACATAGTTGACAGCTTTGTATAGACCCCAAGGCACAATATAGAGCCAGTCGGAGTGCGCCTACAGGGATTCGAAATAAAGATGGAATTAGCCAACAGTTAGGAATATAGTCTTTTTTGAGGTAAAAAAAGCAGACCGTGCACTAAGCTCCCGCTATGCACGAGATACGATCGTCCGGGAAAGGGTCGGACCATAAGAGTCTATTGTACGTAGCCTTACCCTGCGGCATTTCTGCAAGAGGCTATTTCTACGGCTTGAACCAGTGACCCCGGTCACGTGACATCATCTTTACTAGTTACGCCAATGTTTTGAGGTACAAAAACATTAAATTCAATGTGCTTACCCTAGGACCAATTGGTGCTCCCTTGCGATCATCTGCATCAGGCCAAGGAAAGAATTAGAATCAAATAGTCTTTATATAGGAAATCAGAACATTTTTTCATCTAGCTAAAAGAAAGAAGTGAAACTAATATATTAGTATCTTACAAGCAAATGCACAGTTCCAATCCTGTCGGTAGCCAAGGGCTTTTGGTTTGGATAGATGGCGATCATATGCATAGAAGGTAGTATAATGGTTTATGCCCACATAATCAATGGATCCTTTAACCATCTTAATCTCTTCTTTTGTGAATTTGGGTAACCGATTTCCAACAATATTTTGCATGGTTTTGGGGTACTCTCCATATATTAGAGGATGCAAAAACCTGTATAATAAAGTTCATATTAATATAAGGCTTAAGTAAACTAAACTTCAAAGAGGATTGACCACCCTATTCAGATGTAAACATGCAATATTATTAAGTGATGTGGTGCCATGTTTGCACGTTCTTACCATCCCAATTCAAAGTCTCGTGCTCTTTGAGCAGCATAATTGTCAGCTTTGGATTTGGTCAGAGGTTCAAACCAAACAAAATCCAAGATAATTCCAAATTTTCCTTTCTGTTTCTCCTGTGATTGCCAGTAGAAGATGAAGTTAAAACTTGCTCCTTTTCTTCTACTATGTCATGAGTTGAAATATGGTGTATAATATCCAGATAAACCACTAGTTTTAACTTCTATATGCATGCTGATTGCGTAAAAGTGTTTTGCTTTATCAATAAGTCACCTAAAAGATAACTAGCACAAGTAATCGTCTATAAAAGAAATAAGATTAGTAGTCCGGAAAAAAGGCAGCTTACTTGCTACAACAGATTAAAATACATAATAGCGTAAAATTCTTACATTGTTAGTGTATATAAGTTACAAAAAAAGGATTATCCTACTTGATACTTATCGCGATATCTCTGAGCTGCAGCAGCGTGGCTCAAGATTAGATTATGTGCAACGATATATGGCTCAGTTGCAGAATCCCCTGATGTACAATTGCCAAATGCTTTGGAGCACCTACCAGGTGCAAAGTATCCAGTGTTATACCCTAAATCAGCAACAACTCTTGGTTCATTAAATGAGAACCAATTCTTGACTCTGTCTCCATATGTTTTGAAGCAAAATTCTGCATAATCAGCAAAATCTTTCCTGCAAGATTTAAATAGCAAAAGCATTTTCAGAACAAAGAAGTAACAAGGTTGTAACCTTAGCTTATCTTATTCATCAACACAAGAAATCATGTGGGGTATATTTTGTTGATATACCGACGAATATTTTAAAGGCTGTTCCAAATATTTTTAGTTGTTATAACGAGTGTTGTTAGAAAGAACATATATTATAACATAAGGGTTTCAAAGAAACTTGATTTTTATAGTAAATTGTTGTTATATAAAGATGCTATTATACAGAAGTACGACTGTACTTACACAACTTCATGACTCAACCACCCCTTGTAATTATCTTGAAGTGCTTGAGGTAAATCGTAGTGATTAAGATTAACATATGGAGTAATGCCTGCAAAAAAAATGCTCAATATAACTTATCCATATCGAATATTGTTAAGTAAAGGCAGATCCAGCATTTTAAACCCCTGGATAGAGAGTACCACTACATCGACAATTTTTTGTGACACATAATATATGTATAGTTTTAGACAAATGTAATAGGTATGACGGTACGTGCTGCCGAAAGCTACATCTCCACATGTTATTTTTGGCACATCTTATTGAAAAACATCGATAAGTTTACCTTTTTTAAGCGTATAGTCAATCAACTTGTTATAATAAGCAACTCCCTTCCAGTTAATTTTTCCAGTTCCATCTACATTGGAAAAGTGAGACACAAAAAGATTTTACTGTTTATGCAAAAGGCTAGATATTGAAGTTAAGAAGTGGAAAGAAGAAAGAAGATATGAAATTACTTGGGAAAATCCTGGACCAAGAAATTGAGAAACGGTAAGCATCAAAGTTCAGCTTCACCATTAGATCAATATCTTCCTGTACCCAAGAAGAGGATTCAGTTAATTTTTCACGTCACAAAATCGTAAAAATAATTTTAAGTATTTAAGGTTAAATTTCTACATAGGATGAAATTATCCACAAGAGTTGCGTAAATACACTTAAAAAAAATGTACACTCAAAAAGTAATTTTGAAAAAAATACACTTAAAAACACTAATAGATACTCATAAGCGTTTTTCAAATTAATTAACCAAAAATCAACTTTCTCTCACCAAAAGTACTTTTGAGAAAAAAAATACTCAAAAAAAACTAATTTTAGAAGCTCGGCCAAACATGCTATTAATTTGTCAAAACAACTTGGACGAGCAAAGGCAGATTTAGAATTTGAACTTTATGAGTTCAACTTTTGAGTTTTTTAGTATTGAGCGTATTATATTTTTAAAGTTATGGGTTCATGATATCTACTATATTTATAATTTTAAAGAATTTTTACATATAAACTATTACCCCGCGTCATAAGTTACGGCTTCAATTGTACCCGTTATTATCCCACTACATGCGAGCAGTAATTCCATGACAAGGTAAACAGTAAAAACAATTAATATGACTTGATCATTAGATTTCTTAATTCTTCTCAGGGATAATTATACTGTCATGTCACAGCTCGTGTTACGAGAAAGAGTAATGGAGTATATTGTTAATCATTTTGTCTATCAAATTGCCCTTGATGATGGCTAAAAGAGACTTTTACACTAGGAAAATCTCCATAAAAACTGATACCAAACAAATCTTTATTAAAGATGTCGCATCAAATTCTCACAGTATACTCTAAAAGATTATACTTCAAAATTAAAGTTTGTTAAGACCAGAAATCGTTTTCTTTGGCTATATGCCTACATCTCGCAGCCAAGCGGCGATTGAAGATCACATTTGCGACCTACGTACGGAGTACTAATTTTAGAACAAATAATTCTTCTAAGTATTATCTTAACCAAAAAACAAACCGTCTAATTCTCAAGTCAAAACAAAAGAGAAAAGAATATCAAATCTTCAGTTTCATTTTTAAAAAAAAACTAAAATGAGACAAAAATATTAAGTGGTCTTGTAGAGAAAGGGGCACTTAGTTTGTATATAGAGCAGGGGGATTTTAGTGTATTTATAAGCAGAGTTGTTAGTAGATTGTTAGAGGCGGTTAGTTAGTTCTAATAGTAACTAATTATATAAATACATAGTTGTAGCTCATTGTTTCATAGAATGAAAAAGATACAAATATTCTTCTTCCTTCCTCATTTCATTTCGTCTCTTGTCTTAGCTAGGGTTCTTCATCTCAGATCTGCTAATTCAGCATGGTATCAGAGCCTTAAGGCTAGTAATTTTAGTCCTCATCGATTCAAGCTGAAGCTGTGTGTGTTGAGCGGTTAGATTTGTGATTGAAAAATTCGCCATAGACATTCTCGCCATAATTGTTATCGAAGCACAACTAAGAAGCCATGGAAGATACTGCTCATCCGAACACATATGTCACTGGAGCGGGTAGAATTGCTGACGATGTGGACAAAAATCAAACTGGCGATGTTTTTTTGGTCGATTTACCTCACAATCACCATCTATACCTTGGACCAATAGATACGAGTGGAGCTATCACATTTCGTTTCAATTAACAGGTATCAGAACTACTTGCTAAACAGGACGAAAATCAAACTTTTTGGTTGCTAAACACACTAGACTTCCATTTCCTAGTAGCGGTATCAGAACTACTCAATGTTTTGAACTAGTACATGCTGATGTATGGAGACCATATAGAGTTTCAACTTTTGATGAAAATAAGTACTTTTTAACTCTCATAGATGACTTCTCAAGAATGACTTGGTTGTTTCTTTTAAAGCTTGAATCAAATGTTTGTGTTGTGTTGAAACAATTTTTGTATTATGTAAGGACTCACTTTGACAAAGGAGTTAAAATTATCAGAACTGATAATGGAATAGAATTTGTGAACTCAACCTGCACAGAATTGTTTCAAGCACTTGGAGTGATGCATCAAAGAACATGTGCTTATACTCCCCAGCAGTTGAGAGAAAGCATAGACATATCCTAGAGGCTGCTAGAGCTATGAGGTTCCAAGCACATATTCCTCTAAAGTACTGGGGTCATTGTATTCTAGCTGCAATCTATGTCATAAACAGGATGCCTTCTACGGTCCTGAATGGTGCATCACCTTTTGAGAAGATGTATAATAGAAAACCTTCACTAGATCATCTTAGAGTGATGGGATGTCTGTGTTATGCCAAAGATTAGGGGTATTCATGGTTCGGTTTGGGTCGATTTTTTCCTATAAAAAAACCAAACCAAGTAAGTCGATTTTTCAAATATTGGAACCAAACCAAACCAATTTAGTCGGTTTTTTATCGATTCGGTTTTTGTCGGTTTTTCGGTTTTTTCGGTTTTTTGTTGGTTTTTTCTTAAATATGAGACTTACACTACCAAACGCATATTCCGGCGAGTACATTTTCAACATAACGCTATCAAACCAATTGCTCTTTGAGAAATCTATCATTTACCAAGATATATTGATGATAATTGACTCAAATAGTGATGAATAACTTAAGTACTCAATTAAAAATCAATTATTTTTAACATGAAATAAATTCTTGTACTTAATAAAAGAAAGCTACCAATCAAACTACAAGGCAAAGAATTAGATTATTATAATAGCAAAGAACTAGACTAAAAATACAAATGACTAATATGTACCATAAAATTTTAGAAACTTTATATAAAAATATACATATATATAGGTGTAATAATAGATTTAAATAGCTACTTTTATAGTCGGTTTGGTTCGGTTTTTTATTTATTAAAACCAAAACCAAACCAAATTTGATCGGTTTTTAAAATTTAAAACCAAAACCAAACCAAACCTAAAAATATCGATTTTTTTGGTCGGTTTGGTTTGGTTATCGGTTTGGTTTGATTTTTCGGGTTTTTATGAACACCCCTATCAAAGATGTACAAGTCCATGACAAGTTTATGCCAAGAGCAATCCCTGCAGTGTTGATGGGATACTCATCAGTTCAGAAAGGCTATGTACTCTTAAATTTGGCTAACAATTGTTTCTTTGTTAACATGGATACTGTCTTCAAAGAAAATGTCTTTCCATTCAGAAATCAACATACTTCTCATTCTCCTATTTTCTTGCCACCTAATATCTCAACCTATGATTCATCACCTGGAACCAACTCTGGGCACAACATAGTGGTTAACCAAGAAAAACTAGAGTCTTTTATTGATCATGGAACAGAAATGATTCCCAATAAGGATACTGATCTTCCTATGGTAGGTGATCTGGAAGATGAATCAGGACATAGTCCTGCTCAAGAGCAAGCATCTGCACCTACACCTTCACAGTTACATGGGCATCAATCCCTACAACCTGCTGGCATTAGAAGATCTACCAAAGATAGGAATCTACCTATATGGCTAAAGGACTCTATCTCTCTGAACATTCATCAAAATGTTCCTTATAGCATAGCCAACTATGTAGATTACAGTGGTGTTTCACTTAAATACCAAGCATATCTTGCCTTCTCTTCTATTATTGAACCTTCTTCCTTTGGTGACGCTAGACAAGACCCTAGGTGGGTGGAAGCCATGCAGTCAGAGATTGAGGGACTGGAGAGTAACAACACATGGGAGGTAGTACCACTTCCTAAAGGCAAGAGTCCTATTGGATGCAAATGGGTGTATAAGGTCAAGTATAAAGCTTCCGAAGAGGTGGAAAGATTCAAGGCCAGGCTAGTAGCCAAGGGATACTTATAGAAAGAGGGGATTGACTACAAGAAGACTTCTCTCCTGTAGTCAAGATGGTAACTGTGAGGGAAATCCTATCTATTGTTGCTGCTAAGAGGTGGCACATTCATCAAATGGATGTGTATAATGCCTTTTTACAAGGTGATATATTTTATGAGATCTATATGGAGTTTCCACCAGGATTTAAGAGCCAGGGGGAGTCACATACAGTGCGTAGGCTCATCAAATCCTTGGATGGAATTAAACAAGCTCCAAGACAGTAGAATGAGAAGCTTACTGAAGCATTGTGTGCATTTGGTTTCTCTCAAAGCCAATATGATCACTCCTTATTTGTCAAGAAGCTACCAAAAGGAGGCACTGTTATTGTCCTTGTGTATGTAGATGATATGCTAGTAACTGGTACTAGCTTGCAAATGATAGAAGAAACAAAGACAACTTTATAGCAAACCTTTAAGATGAAGGACTTGGGAGAGCTAAAGTATTTTTTAGGGATAGAATTTGCAAGGTCTGAGAAAGGAATTCTAATGCATCAGAGAAAGTATGCATTAGAACTTATCTCAGAACTCGGACTTGGAGCAGCTAAGCCAGCCATAACACCATTGGAGATGAACGTGAAGCTGACTACAAAGGAGTATGATGATCATTTGAAGACTCAAGAGAGTGCATGAGATGAACTGTTGACTGATCCAGGAGCTTACCAAAGATTAATTGGGAAATTGTTGTACTTAACAGTAACAAGGCCTAATCTATGGATAAGCTCACACTAACCCGTCAATTTGGGATCCAAATTCGAGATTTTTCTTGGGAGGTATCGGGAAGGATTTGGAATGGAATAATATCGATTCATACAGACATTCAGTGTACAAACTTTGAGTCAATTTCTACAACAACCAAAAAGGTCTCACATGGAGGCAGCTATGAGGATAGTCAGGTATGTGAAAAATCATCCTGGGCAAGGAGTGTTTCTGTCAAGCAATAACAAAGGCACACTTGAAGCCTATTGTGATGCAGACTGGGCTGCTTGTCAGCACTCTAGGAAGTCAGCAACAGTTTTTTTTAATAAAGTTAGGGGATTCTTTGGTGTCCTGGAAGTCCAAGTAACGAGCCACTGGGTCCAGAAGTTCAACAGAGGCGGAATATAGAAGCTTAGCAGCTACAGTTGCAGAGTTAGTGTGGCTAACTGGATTAATAAAAGAGATTGGATTTAAAGTTCAACTACCTGTTGATATCTACTGTGATAGCAAGGCAGCAATGCAAATAGATGCAAATCCTGTATTTCATGAAAGGACCAAACATATTGATATAGAATGTCATTTCATAAGGGAGAAAAATTTGTTGGGATTGGTTAACACCAGATATGTAGGAACAAGGAAGCATGTGGCTGATTTGCTGACAAAAGGCTTAAACAGGGTTCAACATGAATACTTAAGTTCCAAGCTAGGAGTGTTTGATGTCTTTACACCACCTAGCTTGAGGGGGAGTGTAGAGAAAAGGGTCAATTAGTGTGTATATAGAGCAGGGGCATTTTAGTCTATTTATCAGTAGAGTTGTTAGTAGATTGTTAGAGGTGGTTAGTTAGTTCTAATAATAGCTAATTGTATAAATACAGAGTTGTAGCCCGTTGTTTCATAGAATGAAAAATATACAGATATTCTTCTTCCTTCCTCATTTCATTTCATCTCTGGTCTTAGCTAGAGTTCTTCATCTCAGATCTGCTAATTCAGCAGGTCTAAATATCATGAGCCTAGGGACGATAACGATAAAAGAAAGACGGAACACCGCGTTACTCTTGGTTCATTAGCTGATTTAAATACTCTTCCCTTACTTAGGCACAAACTTTAACAAGTAAGGGAGGAATTTTGAGATATGTGGTATTAAATAAACCATAGCATTTATATGACTGTAAAACTTTTCAAAATTTGTGGTCTAAAACATGTCATATCATTTGCGTGACTATAAATATTTCTTATTAAGGAAATATTAAAATGTGACAATATTTTTAGAACAGATTATTAAGGAAATAGTGCTAATCTTTTTGAAAGAGACGGAGTATATGGCATTTCCTAAATAATCTTGTGGAAATAAGAAAAACGATCAACTTCATTACATTCTCAAACACATTTAGATTAAGTGACCGAAAGTTTTAGAATTTATACAAACGAATACAGCTGGAACAAGGGACGGATTTATAACGTCCGACTGTGGGTGCAAATATGCCCATTGTCTTCTCCTTGACATGTATAGAAACAACATTTTTTTTTCTTGTAGAATATGTATATTTTAATATTTATATTAACTCCCGAACTTACAATTATCACAAAGAATAGTAAATACACTAACGTATGTAAACTTACTTTATAACGGTGGTACTGGTCCGCAGAGACCTCTCCACTTGCATTATTGGGCTCACGTCCTATTTTAACACCAAGTAAAAACTCATACTTCCACTTATCAAAATCGTCCAAATTTTTTTAAAAAATCATGATACATACTAGAATAAAAAATAAAAAATAAAAAATAAAAATGGTGTAACTGGAAGATCATTTAAGTATACCAGGTTTTTTAATGAAAATGTCCCAAACACTAGGTCCACGGCCATCTTTACTGGCTGCACCTTCAACTTGATAAGCAGAAGTTGATGTTCCAAACACAAAACCCTTTGGAAAGCTGTCTCTGCTCAACCCTCCGGTGTCGAAAACCGCCGTCTCTGGCAACACATTATCGCTCTGAATGAGATTTAAAGTGCTTAATATTATTACAGCAAGCAGCAAAAACAGCAATGGAGTGGCTTTATTGATCATATTTTTTAATGTTAGTGAATATATAGTGTGAAGAATGGGGTGGGATGGCAAGTACGTGGTGAGAATCAAGTCTACTTATAGAAAACACATTAGGGTAATGTCAAATGTTAGTGGTGTGGCGAGGGCGGACATAGTCCGTTGTTTTCGTAAATATTTACAGAGACAAGGTTACTATTTTACTATTATGAATTTGAGGGAGGGTGTTAAAAGTTAAGAGGAAATGAATGATAATATATGTGTCTATTTCATTGAATTTCTAAAATAAGAGAATATTGGACATTCTTCGTTAATTTATATATATACTATTCTCCATTTTAATCCCGTAACTAAATTTTTCTTTCTCACTCCTTATGTACTTTTTTTTTTACTTCATCCATACTTTTTTACTTTTTCTGAAGTGTGGGGCAAACGGCGCTCTCTACTTCTACTTCGCTTATTCATCATGGACTCTCTTTTGTCTTTCCTGGGGCGGATAACTTCTTTGATTTGTTATGTTTCATCTGCGGAAAATGAAAGTGGCAATTCCGCGGCAAAATCAGGCAGTCTTCCCCGCCTAGAATCCGAGTCAAGTTCGGAATNAACTTATAATAGAAGGGTCTCCTCTTCCTTCATTTCGTAAGCTTGCTAGCTTACCGGCTGAACCATCATCATCTGCTTGCTTGGTCACTTTCGTGATAAGGCGCTTAAAAGGATTCTGGATTCTATATATTTTGGGAACTAAAAGAGTGGCTGGTTGAAGGGAAGCCAGAAAATCCAGGGAATCGACGTCCCCAAACCATTAGACTTCCATAGAAGAGGAGTCTGATCGCCATTAAAACCCTTCTCGGAAACCGAGGAAATATCCTATCCAATGCTCTAAAAAAGTAAAGGAGAAGCTTCCATTCTAGAAGCTACCGCTTCCTGCCTCCCTCGAGGTGAGAAGTTCCCTTCCCGCACTTTAATCACCCTCGTGAAGAGGATTGATGTCCAATAGCTTTTATAGTAATGGCTGGATCTACTACTACCTCGTCCATTGAGTATAACAGAGCAAATGATGGTATAACAATGAACATATGGATGATACTAGGAAATATGGTCCGAAGAATCTCGATAGTAGTTCCATGAACAATCCTTTGCGGGATTGGATTTTTTTTTTATAGTGAAAATGCCATAAAGCGCGACCAAAGGAAACCCGAGAATTCAAGATTTTGTTCTGTCCTCCGGACATTTATTATGCTGTCACTACTGCTTGTCAATTTGAATTGCATCAAAGTTCGAACTTCATATACGAAAATTCTAAACAAGAACTCGAGACTTAAAATGAATCTAAGTGGAGGTTCTTTCTCGGGGCGTAAGGAATAGCACGCAAAATCGTATATAATGTGATTATTGTATATATTGATTTTTTGAATAAAAAGTATATGTACTTTATTTAGTATTTAATGAGGAGGTTTCTCTTTTTCCTCTAGGAAAAGGATATCCCTTGCCATTTCCTTGCGCTAGCTATCCACTCCTCTTTTCACTTTTTATCATTATTATTTCAATTTCTTTTCCGTTCCAATTCGAATTCCAACTTTGGAATCTATCTTCCTTCTTTGGCTCTCTTTTAGATGATATATTTGGAACTGTATTAAGTTTGACTAATATTTTTTAATATATTTCTTTTATCATATTAATATGAAAAAAATTGCTAACTTATAATATTTCTCATTTCCAAGAGTTAAAATCCGAGATTTCTAATCTGAGAGTGTACTGTTCATGAGAAGGCAAACGAGGAGGATAGGCAGCAAAAGCCTCCTTTGTTGACCAAGAAAGATGCCAATTGTTACTTCCGATAATGGGTAAAACGAAGTAGATAAACTTGGACCGTTAAGACAAAGGGTAAAAATAGTTATAATCAAAAAGAAGTTGGGGTAGTCCTTGGTCCCAAATTTTGTAGGTCATTTGATAGTGTTGCACTTGATTTACTAGACCGCTTGAATATTGTCTATAAGTAGAAGGCCCGTGTTTTCAAGATGCATGGTTAATAATTTTATCTGAATAAATAAATAAATTGGGAGGAAAGTAGCTTTAAAACCAACTGTCTTGTGTTTAACAAAAGGTAGATTGTTGTGGGGTGTGGACCTCAGTTTTTATCATTTGCATTTATTACTACAAATATATTCCCATAGGCTTTTCTTCCTAGCAGTTAATCAAATGACAAATCTCGACATTGAAGTAAAATCCAACGTACATAAATTACTACCGTTTAATTTGTATTTAGGAATATGGTAGAGACCAATGGAGCGTGAGTTTAATGGGTTCAAATGAACCTACCATTTCGACATGGAACATGAATATGTTACAAATATTAAAATAAGCTCTAAACCAAAAAATATAATAGGGTTTAACGGTAAAATTCTAAAACTAAAAGTTAAAACCTGTCAAGTTTAAATATGGAATTTTCATAACAGAAAGGAACATTACTGTGCCCATTTATACGCACGATTCTGAAACACTTCCTCTCTCTGCCATTCTCATTTATATAATGCTAGTAAGTATTAGTATATATGATATAAAAGTTGAGTATATTTTTATTTAATTCTGATTTAGATGAAATATTCATATAGTGTGTAGTGCATCCGAGACAATAAAGTAGTCTAATAGTGTTAAGACATGGCCCCGTTTGGATTGGCTTAAAAAAGTGACTTTTAAGTTAAAGTGCTTAAAAGCATTTTATAAGCGCTGGAACTTGTTTTATAAATAAGCATTTACGTGTTTGGATAAAAGTGCTGAAACTTAAAACAAGCTGATGAAGTGTTTGGGCTGGTAAGCACTTTTTCTTGTTAAAATGACTGAAATATCCTTAAAGTTGTTAACATTGTAAAGAAGATGATGATCATAATATTATATTTTCCGTTCATAGCTTCAAATTCAGGAGTAACACGTAAATTCATTGAATGATTTGATTTTAGAATATAGTTACACCAATTAAAAAAAAAAAGGAAGAATTCAACGACCAAACAAATTAAATGTTATGGAACCAAAAAAAGAAGCCAAAAGAACAATATTTATAAAATATTGGAATGTATCAAACATTATTTAAAAAACTATTGTTTGCTTCACGTTAAGAACTTCAAGAAATTGACAAATATTGGAGAATGGAAAAAAAAAAATAGTATGTTGTAGGATTTTTACTTAGGGGTAATTTCGGGATTAAGAAAAATTATAAGGGATAAGAATGTAATATCCTTGGTCAAAGCAATATGACTTTTAAGCCAATTTAGAAAAAGTTGGGTTTTCCAACTTATTGATTTTGGCTTTTTTTAAGCCAATTTTTTGGTTGCCAAACACTTCCACAAGTTAAAAACGGCTTAAAAGCTGGTCAATAAGTCCATCAGGCTCATGGTCTTTTTTATGTATGTATCAAACAGGATTTGGAGAAAATTTACCCATTAGGAGGCTTTTGGTTTGCCGTGAATAATTTGGAATAGTAAATGGTTAGTCCTATAAAGTACTAAAAAAATCATATAATTAAGTAGCACTTACATTCAGCTGGAGTCGTAAGATTTACAGATCGCCATTATAATTGTACATTCAGACATTCTAGACATATGGCCATTTAAGAACAAAACACAGAAAGGACCAGTAAAATCCACAGCTACCATACAAATCTTCACATACAGTCCTTTTAATTAGTTCAGTGTGAGAACTTAAACATAAATTTGAGCTATTGCAATAAAAGTAAAAGACTATGGAGGTTTGCTAAAAGTACTATAACATGTTCAAATACACAAAAAAAAATTATACACTGATCCATATTCAGGCCAGTCTAGTTTCACACCTCATATTCGTTATTGTTTGCACCACAAATAGAACCCGAAGCAGTTGAGAGATATTCACCCTTAAAATCAGAATCATATGACACCAGCTCCAGTTTACCATCCAATATACAACCGCAGTATCTCATAAATTATCTGTAGCAACTGACGGGAAATTATCAATGACATAATTGAGTAATCACTAATCAGGCATTGCGATATCAATACATGACCAGTAAAGATCAGGATCAGTCCGCGGATGCCACTGGATCCAATTGCATAATAGGCCATACAAGGGAAGGTATTCGAGAAAGGTATAATAGTAGGTATTATATGATTTATCAAATCGATGCAAATTTGAACTAGTTACAAATAGCTATCCTTCTCATCTAAGGAGAGAATAATGGTCTCCGATCCACAAATAGCTGGAGCATTTTCTCTCATGGTACACAATAAATTTTTTATAGCACAAATAACGAACTGACGGCCTACAATTAGCTTCTACCTGAAATCAAGGAGCGGAACTTCAAAATGTTGATGATTCGCAGGATAAGAAGTGACATGGTTGAGCACATCATCAAAATGTAATGTATAAGAGGACTGCAGAGAATTAAGTATGAAGAGCTGCAACTTTTTGAGACAAATCATCAACTTCCTCGTTTGCCTCTTCAATTGGCTCTTCCTATGAAAACATTATCAATAAGAATAAGTCCTGTCAAATGAGGAAAGTACTACTACAACAAATAAAATAAAATAAAATAAAATAACAAAAAAATCCCACAAGTGGGGTCTTGGGAGGGTAGTCTGTATACAAACCTTACCCCTACCTTACGAAGATAGAGATGTTTCCGGTAGACCCTCGACTCAAGGAACATTGAAACTAAATTAACAAACAATTGCAACAAGTAGGTAATAGGGTAATGAAAGCGAAAAACACGTGTGTTTTTGCTGGTACTAATAACGAACCAGCAATAAGCAAATTCAACAATACAACTAGTTTACTGACAAGCCTAGTAGAGACTCGCGACTATCTGTCAACCTTCAATCCTAATACACGTCCTCCACGCCTTCCTACTGAGGGTCATGCCCTCGGTAAACTGAAGCAGTGACATGTCCTGCTTAATCACCTCACCCCAGTACTTCTTAGGCCGACCCCTACCCTTTCTCAGACCCGCCATGATCAACCTCTCACACCTCCTAACCGGAGCAGCTATATCTCACCTCATCACACGCCCGAACCATCACAGCCTCGATTCCCGCAACTTGTCCTCCACAGGGGCCACTCCCACCATGTCCTGAATAACTTCGTTCCTAATGTTGTCTTTCTTGGTATGTCCACACATCCATCTCAACATCCTCATTTCAACTATACTTTCATTTTCTGGACATGGGACTTCTAGACGGACCAACAC